AAACCACATGCAATTTCCAGGAATTGTCGTCAATAAAGTGTGTGGATCGGGAACAGTAGAGTGAGTATCTTGTACTATTTCATTAATGGCCCTGAGGTCTTGTACAAAGTGATATTCTCCTGTATGTGATTTCTTTACTGGTAATGTTAGAGTGTTGTAAGGAGATTGGCAAGGCCTAATTAATTAGTCCATACTTTAAAAATTTCTGTAGGACTGTTCGAATCCCCTCTAAAGCTTCTTTCCTCAATGGACACTGTTTCTTTCTTGGTAGGGGTGCCTGAGGCTTCAATTCAATTGACAGGGGTGGGACATTGACTGCTTAGCCTAGGACCCCATCTGTCTAGACCTGTGTACTCACTTTCTTATAGATTTCAGGTGGAAATGAATCTATGGACTGATCTTTGGGTTGAGCAAGTAGCATGTGAAGTGGTAGAGCTTATGCAGGAGGCACCTTTAGTAGAAGCCGTTTATCTTCAGGGGAAAAAAAGTTACTTGAGAGTTTAATGTGCAAAGTAAATCATGACCCAACAAAGGAATTGGACACTCAGGCAGGTACAAGAAGCTGTGTCTTAAGGTTCTGTCCCTTAGGTGGCACTTACAAGGTTGCAGAATCTTTTGTTGGGGTTTGCCAGTCACTTCTGTTATAGGCATGGATCAGTTAGAATCTTTTGCCAACCTAGTGTTTAACACTGAGTACATTGCCCCCGTGTCAATTAGAAAATCTACTATTTGATTCCCCACTGTCAGTTGTTCCTGGGGCTCCTGTGAGGAAAAAATGATTGGTTTGTTTAGATCAGGGGAGCCCTTAGGTCTCTTTATTCTTCATCTGAGTCTCCTTGTTCCACCATTTGTTTTTGTATCCTTCACTTCTATTTATTTTCTTTTCCTTTCTCTAACATTGGGCAATTGCGTGTCCAGTGTCCAGTTTCCTTACAGTATGTGCATTGATTGTCCCTCCACCCCCAAAAAAACTTTTCCTTGGGTCCCTCTTTTCCTCTCCCTTCTTAAAGATAGTAGCTTGTCTAGTTTTTCTTGTCTCTCAAGCATTATAAACTTTGAAAGCAATATCCACCAGCAATGAGGGGCTCATACCAACAGTGCCATCTAGCATCTTCATTTTCTTTCTAATGTCAGGTCTCTCCCTTCTTAAAGATAGTAGCTTGTCTAGTTTTTCTTGTCTCTCAAGCATTATAAACTTTGAAAGCAATATCCACTAGCAATGAGGGGCTCATACCAACAGTGCCATCTAGCATCTTCATTTTCTTTCTAATGTCAGGGACACTGTGTCCAATAAATGTTAAATTGACCATCCTCGAATTTTCTGGGGCCTTCAGGTCCACTATAGGCTTGATACATTTGTTCCAAAAACTGTGCTGGGTTTTCATTAGCTTCTTGACACAACTCCTAGGTTTTGTTTGGACTTAGTAACTTTGATACTCCTTTCTTTAAGCAAGCTAAAATGCATTGGTGAAAATGCGTCAACCTCAGCATTCTCCTGTTGTTGGGATCCCAGTTAGGGTCTACGTGGCATAGTGGTTGGCGGATCAGGGGTCCCATTAGGATCCCCCTGATGTGTTTGCTGGGCCTCCCCAGTACAGTAGTTCACTGACCAGTCTCCTTTCATTAGCTGTTCACAACATATTCATTAGGGACTGGATATCGGCCGACATGGGGCAGTGGGTATTGAACACGCTTGTCAACAGCTTTGTCATTTTCTGTGGATCCTTCAGAGGATTTGAATTTTTCCAGTTCATCAGATCTCATGTTGAAAATGGTGTATAAATCCAAAAATTGTCAGCAGGTTGCCCATGGGCCTTTAGTCTCCCTGTGGGGGACTGTCTTAAAGGGAATTGTCCTGTTCCATATGAGCCCACACCTGGGCCAAATTGGTGCCCTGGTGGGTCTTGGAAGGAGAGACCATTCCAGCCTCCTGATTGTAAGTCGGGGGACCACTGCATCCAGGCACCTCTGTATCCTCATCTCTCACAATGGCACATATAGAGGAGCATCGGGGTCTGCTGGTCCCAGAGGTGCGGGATCAATTGTGGCAGGAGGGGGATCCAGGCTGGATTTTAAGGTTTCTAATAAATGCTCATTTTCAATTTCCCTTTCCTCTGGATTTTTTAGCTCTAAAACTGGTTTCTGAGATTTCTGAGGCTCTTAACCAACCTTTCTTTGGACCATGAGTTTAGTCCCTTCCCTGTTAGCACCCTGATTGTGGAGAAGCATAAAGGCTTGGACATAAGGGATCTCATCCCATTTTCCAGATCTCTGACAAAATAGTTCTAATTGTAAAATGGTATAGTAGTTCAGAGACCCATTTGAGGGCCAACGTTCCTCTAAGTCTAACACGTACATTGGCCATGCAATGTTGCAATAATATACCATCTTTTTCCTAGTCATGGGAGTGCAGCTGTATTCACCCTATTTAGTGGTTATATGCCCAAGGGGACTCTGAGAGAGAACTGACACAGCACCTCCCATATCTATTCCCCCTTAGATCTTTTGTTGCAAATCTGGTGCCCGTTTCCAACCAGCAGGATCTTGTGATTAGCTGGGATACAAACACCTCTGGGTTTTACCCAATTCAAATTCTGTATGTGGAAAGCCTGAAACCAATGCCAAACACTAGTGGGAGAAGAAGGGGTTTGACAGAAAGAAGGAGGGTTTCAGTAATAGTCATCATGAGACAGGAAATGGGCAACTAACTGTAACTCAGTTTACGGGACTATTAAAAAAAATTCTGTCTCAGAGAATCGATCTCTCCCTCATATCAAAGGCTCCACAACTAAGAAGGCACAGGTTTCATTGACCCAGCTGCCAAGCGGACAAGCTCCTGCTGTATATATGCCGTTAATAACTCAAACTGTTGATTATCAGTGTCTAAGTTAATGGTTAACTGAAATTTTCTGCTTGAGTCTTAGTTATCCCAAAGATGGTCATTCTCTGGCTAATGTCCCTTTGAATTTCTCTACATCTTTTTGCCAACAATTGTTATTTTCTGTAACTTTTTATGTTTTTGATGGTATTATAAGTGGTATAATTTTGGGTTCTTAAAGTTTATTTTCTGTTTGTTCCTGATACATAGAAATACAGTTTTCTTTTTCCATATAAACTGGTATCCAGTGACCTTGTTTAAGTTCACAGGGTAATTCTAATAGCTTATTTATTTATTCATTGGATTTTCTACAAACACCTTAATTTCTAATTTTCAAATGCTTTCATATTCTTTATTCAACTTTTCATAATAGTTTTTATTTTATGGGTGCAATATTCTAGTGAATGACTTGGAGAATATAAGAATTTAAATTTTGTTTAAAATTTTTTTTAATCTTAGTTTCTTTTGTAGTTGGTTCTATTGCTTTTCATTTTGGTCCTTTATAATTTTGCAGGCATTTCTTAAATATTTGGTGATCCATGGTTATTTATTCATTTTGAAGAAGGACTAGGGTGGTTAATTTTGGTAGCTGGTATTGGCTTCCTCTGAGTTTTTTGAGGTCTGTTTTTCGAAAAGAGCTTTTTCCCAGTTGGGATTCCTGATTGAGAGTTCTGAGTGAATTTGCTTCAAGGGACTAGCTGCAGAGATAGAGTCTGAGGACCTAAAATTTATTCTGGGAGTTGAGTGCTATATAGACTTTTTTGTTTTGGTGGTTTTTGTTTCCTCTCTCCTGATCCTCTGTCTACACCACCTCCATTTGTGGGTGTTTGAGCAACCTCAGGCTCAGCCCTACTTCTTTTTTGTCCCTAACACCCTGCTGGATGCTCTTCTTAAGCAGATCTGTATAATAACCCTGGGAACCAAAGTTTATACAGTAGTAAACTGTCATGAGTGGCTCTGCTGATCTGTGACCAATCTTTTAATTACTTTGATTTCCTTATGCTTTAATCCAGCTTCTTGATCCTGAGCTTGGCATTTTCTTCCAGGTTCTATTTAGGGGGTTGGTAAAGACAGCTCTCGCCTCCTTACAGTCCTTTACTATGCTTATTTTGCTTGGGTTGCTGTTTCTTGCTGTGGCTTCTCTATCATTTCAATCTTATCTGTTTCTTGTAGAAATTTTTCTACTTTTCTCTTCCTTCCCTTTTATTTTGGCTTGTTAATGGAAATTTATTTTTTAATTATGAAAAATTTAGACATAAAACACATGTATCTACTCCCCAGCTTAAGTGAAACAAAAATACAATTGAAGCTCCTTATTCTCTTCTTTGCATTGCACTCCCTCTCATTCATCTATTATATTTTTATCCTATGTGGGTGCATTTCTAAACAAAACAGCATTGTTCTGGATGTGTTTGAGCTTTATGTAGTCACATACTACCCCCCTTTTTAAAAAATTCATCATGGTTCTTTTATTTGTTAGTTCTCTTAGTATATCTTTTCTGCTGTTACAGTGGTATGTGGATAGGGAGGATAGCTCAGCCCATGTATTTCTTACTATGACTTTTTAAAAAGGGATATTTAAGCAGCTTTAGGATATATTATCACTAATAGACATGCAAGAGAAAGGACTTGGTATTACCTCTTCTTGTTTCAACTGGTGAGGATAGGTGAATATGACACCTAGCAATGTTATACAAGCTAGGCAGTTGAGTCTTGTTGCTGACCTCTATTTGGTGTTATAAATCCCTTTGGAGATAGAGAAACACCATTCAGTTGTGTTTAAGGTTTAACTGACGTTGGGTGAAGATTTGGGCTCTTATTGCTGGAAGGTATTTTTTTGAGATTGGTTACTACAAACTGTACTCAAGAAACTCAGGCCCAGAGAAGGTGAGTGACTTGTCTGAGGTGATTCCGGGGAAAAGTACAGGGTCAGAATAAGCTGCAGTTTGTTCTTCTTTCCACTTTACTACAATTAACCTCAGGTTAGAGTCCTCTCTTGTTAATGTTCACTTTTGATATTTGTCTGTTCTTTAAAATATTTATTTGAATACCAAAAGATTTTTAGTACATAAGAATGAACAGAAATCCTTGAAGTAATGCTTATTTGCCATGTTTTTCTTAGGGTCAAAATGGTTTCAATACCAGAATACTATGAAGGCAAGAATGTCCTCCTCACAGGAGCTACTGGTTTCCTAGGGAAGGTGCTTCTGGAAAAATTGCTGAGGTCTTGTCCTAAGGTGAATTCAGTGTATGTTTTGGTGAGGCAGAAAGCTGGACAGACACCCCAAGAGCGAGTGGAAGAAGTCCTTAGTGGCAAGGTAAGTGTGAAAAATGGAGGGGAGAAAAAAGTGTATACTTGTGTATATAATTATTATACTCATCAATAGCTTAGTGTGTCTTTTCAGTATCCTGAAAAAAATTAGTAGACAAAAAATCTAGTAAGGTACTACAGCATGGCAATAAACGGAGTATAACTTGTGAGTCAGTAGGAGATAAAACTTTCTTCTGTGATGGGCAAAATTATGTAACAGTTCTAAATTACCATTATGGTAGATATTTAAAGTATGTTTTTACAACATTTGAGGTAGGTTGTTTGTAATTAGTACATATTTTAAAGTCTTCAAATAATAATAATTAGTAGGTAGTTTTGATCTACTTACTATGCTGTGATTCATTATGCTTTGATAACACTTTAGAATTTATAAGCACCAGTTGCTGCCTGTAACAGTATTAGGAGGTAGAGAAGTCACATATTCCCATTTGACAGATGACAGAGTGGTGATATAGAATACAAGAATATGTCATACATTTTGAACCTTTAGAAAAGTATTACTAAGAACAAATGGAACTGAACTGGAGTAAAATTATTTCACAATCATAAGCTTGTGAATTCTCTTAAAATGAATGAATTTATCAGAAATTTATTGTTAGTTTCACTTGGGAAGCTGTAAGCTCAATTTCGGTACACTTAGGGAATCACTTTGCAGGCATCTCAAAAAAGAATTTCAATTATAGCATTTATTTTGGAATGATAACAACTCATTTGAGTATCTGAATTCTCACAGGCATGTTAAAAAAAAGAAAACCCAAAACTGTAGCAGACCTCTCCAGCTGCTAATCAGACTTTTTACTTTGAATGATTTCGTATACCTTTATGATAGTTCTTTGGATTGGAACTAATTGTCATATCACATTAGCTTTTCCTTGACACAATGCAGCAGGTACTCCTCATTATGTTGCTATTATTTTTTTAACCCTGGGATGTAAGATTTTGTCTCAGAAATTTAGAAATTATCCTTATACATTTTAATTACTTAAATTAGTCTACATTAGTCTCTCTTAATCATTTTTTTCTTTCTGATTCTTTGCTGAACCCTTTTGGAATCTTTTGCTTCCCTTAAAACCTATGAGAAAGGAGTCATCAAGGAGTCTTGTTCTAAGCAAAAGTGCCTTGAACATAAGCCTTGTTCTAAGCAAAAATGCCTGCAGGTGTGTTTTGTTGCTATTTCTGCCATTTGTTTACTCATCTTTGCATTTTATCGTAAACCACTTGTAATTGATATGTTTTAATCCCTCTCCTAATATACCCTCCCCGCAGTGATGGGTCATTTATTCTTTCTTTCTTATGTATGTATTTATTAATTCATTTATTTTATTTTAATTAATTAATTAATTAATTCAGAGAACATTTATTGTGCCTACTTAGTCCTGGGTGTTTGACTTCCCCTCCCCGCAGTGATGGGTCATTTATTCTTTCTTTCTTATGTATGTATTTATTAATTCATTTATTTTATTTTAATTAATTAATTAATTCAGAGAACATTTATTGTGCCTACTTAGTCCTGGGTGTTTGACTTGATGTGTAGGGGGTTTTATTCATGGATAAATAAGAGAGTTCTTGCCTTCTAGAGAGCTTTTAAGAGGGAGGAGAGAAGGAAGAAAGGATATAGAGATGTCAAGAGGAGACTGGATAGAAGCAGTTACTGCACTTGATGTCGTAGTTGGAATTGAGGGCCTAAGCAAAATAAAAAAGGTTTGGGTATCTCCTCTGGGGTCTCCAGGGTAGTGCTTCTAAAATTTCCTCCACAGTGAGTTGAATTTATAAAGATAAGAAATATTTTCTATTTAAAACCTGAAGTGTCATTGAACTTTTATGATTTAGCCTAACCGTATAGCTATTATTTTCAATGTAAATAAATGCTTTGTCCCCAAATATTTCATTAAAATCGATACTGTATAAAATTATGTCATTTTATCTTGTGCTTTCAGTTCCCTCCTGCCACATCCCTCTGCTTAATCCTAGGTCCACTTATTCTCCATTATGTATAGCATTGCTGGTGATTCCATTAAAAATGAATTATTTTTATGCCAAGTAGCAATGAATGTAAACTTGAAGTTATTAAGACCCTCTAGGTGAGACCTGCTATGATTTTGAAATGGGAATAAAGAACATAGGCAAAGAGCATATTCCATAGTGGGACATTGATTTGGAGCAGGGTTGTTCAACTTTAGCACCATTGACATTTTGGGTTGAATATTTTTTTGTTGTAGGGCACTGTCCTATGCATGTTGTTTGTCCTACCCCACTAGGTGCTAGTAGTATTCTTCCCTCCCCTTCCCAGTTGTGACAACCAAAAGTGTTTCTGTACATTGCCCAATATCGACTAGGAACCAAAATCACCCCTGGTTGAGAACTACTAACTTGTAGGAATGTCTTAGAGGAAAGAAACTCCATTGGATGGTGAAAACTGAATTAAAATAGATGATGATGAAGTAAATTCTGGAAAGGGAATAAAGAATATTAAAAAGACATTAGTGAACTTATTATAGCAACTATTAGGGCTGGTTTAAAAGCACTGGAATAGATGGTATTGAATAAAGAGATGATGGTTAGAGGAGGGAAAACAGTCACATTTGAGATCTAGTGGTATAGATATCTGTTATGAAGGGGAATTAAAAGTCATGAGCAATCAGGACAAAGAAGTGTGAATTCAAGGTGTTAAAAAGTACTTTCCTTGTTATTCCTTAGGTTCCTTTTCTCCCCTTGCCCCTTAAATATTGATATTCTTCAGGTTTTTCTCCTAAGCCTTTATATCTTCTTATTAGGTCCAGTGAGGAGGTTGTTCAGCACCCTCTGTTTTATTTATTTTTTTTCTTTTTCGTGACCGATAAGGGGATTGCAACCCTTGGCGTGGTGTCGCCTGCACCGCGCTCAGCCAGTGAGCGCACCGGCCATCCCTATATAGGATCCGAACCCGCGGCAGGAGCGCTGCTGTGCTCCCAGTGCCGCACTCTCCCGAGTGAGCCACGGGGTCGGCCCAGCACCCTCTGTTTTATGAGATGAGTTGTTATACTTTAAATTAGATTTGGAAATAGCTTCATATAGTTTGATCTTGGGCGCTCACCACTGCTGCTGCATAGATGATCTCTTCTACTCCCAGGGCTTCAGTTACTACTTGTGTGTGGTTAGTAAAATCTTTATTGGTAGTCTGACTTTCTCTCCTCTGAACTACAGACTCACAAAGCCAAACGTCTCTACTACATGTCTTTTGGGATGTCATGTAGGCATTTAAATGTACTTAACATGCACAAGACTGAATTTGTATCTCTAAACTTGTACTACTTTCTCTTCTAGTGTTGCCAATCTAATGAATTTATTCACTTAACAAATATTTATCACGTCTATATCTTGCCAGGCACTGTGCTATCTAGTACCTGTGTGCTGAGCAAAACAGAGGTGGCCCTGCCCTCATTCCTTATCCCTCAAATCGAGTCATTGGCCAAGTCTTGTTGTGTTACCTCCTAAATCTCTCTAAAATGTGTCTTTCTTTTCATCTTCATTATCATTACATTGGTTCAAATCACACAGTTTCTTGCTATCGTAACTGCTGGAGTCTTAAAACTCATTACTGCCAGAGGGCTCTGTAAAATCATAAACATGCTTTTGTATCACCTCCTTGCTTAAAATCCATTGATAGCTCACCATTGCTCCCAGATGAAGCTCATCGATATGATGTAGCTTACAAAACACAGTTATCTGGCCCTGCTTATCTCCATACAACTCTGGCCATTTTTCCCTTCATACTCTGTGTTCCAGGATTACTGAATTATTTTTAGTTGACCAAACATACGCTTTCGGGGCCGGCCCGGTGGCGCACTGCTACAGTGCGCCGTTTGGGAAGTGTGGTGACGCTCCCGCCGAGGGTTCGGATCCCACATACAGACTGGCCGCTCACTGGCTGAG